ACGCCTTACATAAAAAGATTTCAGTCTCCCGGCAGGATTTGAACACAACGCGTTGAGATTGTGAGTCAAGTGCGTCGCTGACTAAACCACCCAGGATTGGGGGTTGGAGCCATGCAAAAGGGAAGTCAGTCGCGGGGCGCGCGAACGCGCGGTCGCGCGCTGGACAATTTGATCGGAGCAAAGACCGCCGCCAGCACCGAATATTCTCCCCACGGTTAGAGCGTAAACTAATAGTGCGACACAGCGTCGACCAATCAGCAGACCTCGACGTCACAATATTGGAAACAACATTTATAGCGTGAAATATAGAAGCGTTCAATCTCGCAGCAGCAATGATCGGAACTACGCTATCATTAGACGATGACGTTGAGAAGATGCCACACCGGCCGTCGGCGGTGCCTCAACCTGTTATGGAGGTCGCCGACGCGCCGACGCTAGCGAGCTCCAAAGTCCAAGGCGACCGAGAAGAACCGTTCGCGCGCAGCCCGAGATCTAAACATCCGTTCGTCCGCTTCGCGCGTAACCTGAGCGCCCCGTACCAGAGGCGCCTTTCTTTTATTTCGTTTTAGATTTAATAAACGAGACGTCAGTCTTCAGCCTGACTCCGGCACGAAAGGTTGTCCATGTGTGCCCTTCGTAAAAGAACGTAAAACGAAACATGGTGTCAGAAGCGGGATCGCTCCGCGAGTCTACTAATAATTAGTAAAGCGCAGGATCGACTACAAACGAAGGAACAATGGACAAGCCCTCAACTTCTGCCGACAACGGTGCTACCGAACAAACGGTAACGGCAACTTTTCGCATCTCGCCACCCGAAGCCTTCAGTTTTACAACACCTAACGATTGGCCGGCGTGGAAGAAGAGATTCAAGCGCTTCCACAGTGCATCAGGACTGGCATCTCAACCATCATCACACCAAGTCGACGCTCTCATTTACATCATGGGACCACAAGCGGAAGACGTCTTACAGACCTTCAAGCTGTCCGACACCGAGGCTCAAGACTTCGACAAGGTGATGGAGAACTTCGAACATTACTTCATTCCTCGTCGAAACGTGGTGTATGAGAGAGCCATGTTCAACACAAGATCGCAACTGGAGACGGAAACCGTCGAGGAGTACGTCACTGCTCTCCGTGGATTAGCCACTACGTGCAACTATGGACCACTGAAGGAAGAATTGATCCGCGACAGGCTGATTGTTGGTCTTCGGGACAGCAGGACTTCAGAAAAACTTCAACTGGATCCTGATCTGGACCTGCAGAAGGCCATCGCTGCTGCGCGACAATCGGAAGTGATTAAGAAGCAACAAGCGGAACTCCGACCGACAAAAGAAAAGGATGCCAACGTTGACCGTATAGCAGCCAAAAATGGGACAGCAGCAAGACCTGCTCAGCGAGGAATTGAACGTTCAAATGTTCGAACTCCTACTAAGAAGACCGCGACACCCAAACCAAAAGGCAAACCGTGCCGTTGGTGTGGTCGAGAAGCTCACCCGAGGAGTGTGTGTCCGGCGAAGAACGCAGGCTGCAACAGGTGTAAGAAAAAGGCACATTTTGCAACAGTCTGCAAATCTTCAACTACCGTGAACTCCCTCGTACACGAACAAGGATTCGTAGGAGCTGCAGCTTCTCCTCAAACAGCAAAATGGGACATCGAGATATTCGTCGACGAAACTCCTGTTGTTTTCCGAATAGACACCGGAGCAGACGAAACGGTGTTACCAGCTGCCACCTTTCAAAAGGTCTTCGCAAAGTGCCACAAGCTCTCCGAGCCCCAACGCCGACTTCATGGTCCAGACGGACGACCCCTTAAAGTCATGGGATCAGCTTGGATGAAGCTCAACTGCCGTGGACAACAAGCACTCGAAGAAGTTTACATCGTGAAAGGACTTCGCAAACCTCTTTTGGGTAAGCCAGCTATCGAAAAATTTCGGCTTTGCCCTCAAATCTGCATGACTGCGAACAAAGCTTGCGAACCGAAAAAAGAGTTCTCTCACCTGTTTCAAGGACTGGGATCTCTCGAAGGTGCTCACGTTCTGAAACTGAAACCTAACGCGACGCCGTTTGCTATCGCATCACCGAGAAGAGTACCGCTTTCGCTGTATCGAGAAACGCAGAAAGAGCTAGAAAACATGCAGTCGCAAGGTGTCATCTCTCCAGTAGAAGAACCTACTGAATGGTGCGCGCCGATGGTCATCGTCCCCAAACCGTCTGGCAGAATTCGCATTTGTGTTGATCTCACACAACTGAACAAACACATTCAGCGCGAATATCACCCTATCCCATCAGTGGAGCACACGCTGGGAAGGCTAGCAGGAGCCAAGATCTTCTCAAAGCTGGACGCGAATTCTGGGTTCTGGCAGATCCCTTTAGACGAGAAGTCACGACTCCTGACGACATTCATCACTCCGTTTGGAAGATATTGTTTTAATCGCCTACCATTCGGAATCACGTCAGCACCGGAACACTTCCAGAGACGTATCACACAACTTCTCCAAGGA